ATTCTTTATCTTCATTGTTATGAATTGAGTGGTTTGTTAGTTGGGCTAATAAAGCTAAATATTATCTATTAGATCATGCTGCCCAGTTTGTTTATGTTAACGATGAACAAATGACCAACTGGAAATCCTTTCAAAAATTAATGATCGATCAATATTCATCAATAACGACTAAACAAGTTTTAACGGATCCACTTGTTAATACATTAGTTAGTTCCTGCATGACACCACAACAATATACATCTTCTTCATCGGATTCTCTAGCGATGAAAGCACATCATGTCTTGGTACTAGAAGATTTAAAAACATTACCAAGATTTACAGGTGAAGAATCACAATCGATCAGTTCATGGTTAGAAGAAATCGAACTTGTATATGATAAAGCGTTTATTACAGATAATGATAAAAGTTACCGTACATTAAAATTATTGTCGAATATTGATGATAAATGGTTGGAATTTATTCGTCGTCAAAAATTAGATTGGAACGACCTCAAACGGAAATTAATTAGCCGATTCGAAAGAAAGAAGGAACCGTCACGTATTGAATTGGAAGATGCTATTCGAAATCGATGTTACCATGATAATGAACCTATGCATCATTATTATTCTGATATCATGCGACAATGTGATTTATTGGAGGAAGAATATCCAGTTTCAGATCGTCATCGTATTGATTATATAATTCGAGGTCTACCCGATAGTATTCAGGATCAATTATTAATTAGAGAATATTCAACACCAAAAGAATTATTAGAAGTATTGCAAAAAATTGAAGAACGCCGAAAACGGACAAATTTCGAACAACATGTTACTAGTATAGATGAGAATGCTCTATTACCAATAGCAAGGGCAACACCAATGTTACAAACAACATTTCTACCAACAAACAACTTTCAATCAAATACACCTTTCGTTCAACAATCTAAAAGATACGGTAATAATACATTTCATAATAATCAATTACAACAGTATCGTCCACCTTCACGCTCATCATCAAATTATAACCAACAACGTACTCGACAACAGCGACCGATTCAATGTTATAATTGTGGCAAGCTTGGGCACAAAGCCACAGAGTGCTTTAAATCAAAACAACATTTAAACTAGGTCAGGAGTCACGTAGTGATGGGCGTGCTCTCCAAAGCAATAAATTAAAACCACCACAACATCTTCAATCATCATTAAAATCTAAATCTAATAAATGTTTTACGGATA